GAACTCTGCATTATTGCCCTGAAAAATACACTAAAAGATACATATACAACTCAAAAATACATTGCTAGAAGTAAGGGAGAAAGCTACTTAGACCAGTTTCAAAGAGAATGGGCCAAATGGCAAAACTTTTTTTGAAACACCCAAACTTGAAATTACGACTGATTTACCATAAGTAACTTATCAATTTATAAATATATTTGTTGTATTGAGTAAATGTAAATATTGATTACGCTCACACTGACTGCTAGCTTAGAAATTCAAAATGTAATACAAATTTTCAACAATCCTACCTTTCCTTTTTGATAATTGTATTGATGTTTGTATGATAATGAATGAGTGTGTGTATGTCTTTATATATGTTTGTGTTATGTCATGTTATGTATATATATTGTAACTGTATTGTATACTGAAGTAAAAATTTGAAAAAAATAAAAATAAAAAATAAATAAAAAGTTATGGCTTGATTGTCAATTTGATTACTATAAACATGCATGTATATGTATTTGTAAAATAAAATGGAAAGTAAAATCACATTAAAAGATGCATGGCAAAGTCCAGAAATCAAATCTGATTAAATCTGCAATATTGTTTTCATATTTTGCTACATCTAGATCTAGTTGTTTTATTGAAAAAAGGCAAGAGCGGTCGTAAATGCACAATAATGCCTTAGACGTTTATATTTACATTATGTACATATTGGTCAAAGAAATACGCTGTATTTTGATATTTTTGTAACGAAATATCAAATATATATAAAACAGCTACAATAAAATATGATTGACAGCAGTTAAACGTCTTCACCAACGATGGGCATTGATTATTATTTCCTTTGTTTTTATAACCGGAACATGTTTATTATTTAGTTTATTGAACAATTTTGTGCATTTTCAGTCAATAAATTGTGTAACCTACATACACTATAAATTGCAGATTGTCCGTCTGCAATGTGCTACAGTATTTCAAAATGCGTACATGTTAAGGCATTCACCTCGGTAGACACATTTAAACTCTTTCAATTCAAAGGTTGGAATAATTCATTCATAAGGAAATTTCAGGGGTGATTGAGTTAATGCTGTTGGTGTTTGTATGCAGTATTTCTTTCAAATGTACTCTATACATACAGGTATTGAAAAATGTTTTCATGAAATGACAGCCATACTCCAAACCTCTTTGTATCATCACTGCACTATATCACCAAAATCTGCGATGTATTTCGCTTTGTAGATGTATTTAACTTTCTTTTATTTTCAGGTGCTAAACGCTCAGAAACTTGGATACCAGGGCGCAATTATCCAAAATCGCTTCGAGGATGAGAGGCTTGTTGCTATGGGAGGAGATTCTCGTAAGTAAAGCTTTCCTTAACCCTTCCACCACTGTGGACCATAATGGAATCATCCAGATCAATGCATGATTGAGTTTACTAATGTAACATAGGGGTGTAAGGGTTAATATCGTAAAATTTGTTTGTGTGGATCAGGTTTTCTCAGGAAAAAAAATCTATTGTAGCAAAAATCAAATATTTTCTTTTGTGAAATATTAAGATTTTCATGTGAGTGCTCTGTTAGCTGAATGTCCATACATTACATCTTCTTACCTGTCAGATCTGTGAGAGTCACTTTCTCTATTCTATGTTGTTCATTCCCAGCCAAAGCTTTGCTGTACTGTTAGATTGTTACTGTGTATGTTTTAGATATGTATGAGGTGAATATCCCGTCAGTGTTTGTGGGCTGGACCAGTGGATATGAGATTGGCCAGAAATATTGCTATCAGTGTTCGTTTTCCAAGTAAGTCATGCCGATTGTTAGATACCTTAAATCTTGAAAATAAACCTGATTTGAAAGTAAGACGGCTTAGAAAATAAGCTTGGGACTCTTTGCAGTCAAAAATATCTCAAAAGTAAGCTGGCATCAATACTGTGGTTACGATAAGATACGTATCACGATACGGTGTTCACGATACGATACGTATCCCGATACTGTGGTCACGATACGATACATATCCCGATACTGTGGTCACGATACGATACGTATCCCGATACTGTGGTCACGATATGATACATATCCCGATACTGTGGTCACGATACGATATGTATCCCGATACTGTGGTCACGATACGATACATATCCCGATACTGTGGTCACGATATGATACATATCATGATACTGTGGTCATGATACGATACGTATCCCGATACTGTGGTCACAATATGATACATATCATGATACTGTGGTCACGATACGTATAGTAATGGTAGAAGCAAATGAAAAGATTTGTTGCAAATTTTGAATGGCAATTTTACAACAAAAAATAGACTTGGTCCACAATGAGCATGACTCAAGTTTCACAAAATTCACGTCTTTCCACGTGCATATTGTGCATTCAGAAACAATAAAATCTGTAAAATATCGTAAAATATTGGGTATCGTACGGTATTCAAAATATGCGATATGTCGTTGCAGTCATACCAACAAAAGTGATTTATATCAGTTGAAATGATTTGTTTCATAATTGTTGGAATTTAAATAAAGTTGATATAACTCTCTCCCATAGTTACACTATCACCATCACCAACAACACACCGCAGGACTTTAAGCCGTACATCCTGTGGCCCTTTGCTATCGTAGTGGGGACCTGCTTCATCCTCATGCTCTCCTTCATGGTAAGTTGACAGTCATTCCGCCAAGATCTGAGACTTTTAAAATGTTCTTTGTAAATACCATTTACCATTTACCTGGTATACTTTTGTTATAAACAAATAGACTCTGAGAATCGGAAGAAAGGTGTAAAGTTCCGGTCTTTAAGGTGCATAAAAATAGCTGTTAGAAATGTATATGTAAACACCAAGATGATAAGATAATTATCTCCCAGACGTATGTACAAACATGACTTTTGTGTGTCGTGACATTTTTGTCATAAGAAAAATAAATCAAATGAAAAAAAGATAAAACATCAATATTCTGTAAAGTAAAAGACTAAAAGTCTATAAGTGATCTGAAGCTTTGCTCTCCTAATATTTGCTAAGTTGAAGATAAGTTTGGTTCATGTATCTATGCAAATACTGTATACCGGGAAATTTTGGCCCACTCATACATTCTCCCTTTACTAATGAAATCAATTTTCACCCAGTGTTAAATTTGCCCTTCACATCCAGTTACTATATATACTTATATTCGCTGTTATGAATATTTCGTCTTTATCAGAAAAGGTGAAAACAGCAAATTTAATTGCAGCAAAATTTTGCAGTATGTAAGCTGGGAGTTGGACATTAATAATCAATCCATCATCAAGCTGGTTTGATAGCTTTAATCCGATATGTTATACTTTTGACATCTACTGTGTCCGAACCAAATCCAGTTCACATTACCATGGTCAAATATCATTGTAAAAATGCAGAAGGTTTTTCACTATTAATAAAAAATATGATCTCCAAAATGTTTCAGATATTTAAATGGTGTAGAGACATCAGCAAAAGGAAGAAGTCTAGACTTTCCACTAAGGTGCTGAAGAAAATTCCAACCAAGAAGTTCAAGAAAGGTTTGAGCACAACAAACTTATTTTTAAGTTGACAATTTCTTCTGATAAAAAATTGTTGATGAATGGATGTAAGATTTATTTACGGCATCTGTCTGACACAGATGTGGGTGGTCAGTTAGATAATGGATAACACACTCATATGTCACCAAGATAGGGTCACCTGCATGACCACAGTGTTTTTCTCTGGTTACTCTGGTTTTCTTCCTTGCAAGCTTCGATTAGGGTGAGCAAAAGTGATATATATAAGTTAATAAGATGTTTCCATAGTTGTTGTAAAATAGATATAATTCAAGTTAACACGGGTGCAAATATGTAAAGTGTCTGTGTGACACGGATCACAAGTGTGTTAAGTGTCTGTGTGACAGATATTTGTTTAAAGTTTTTGAGCTATACAGGTTATTGTTTTAATTGTCTGTGTGACACAGATAATTGTTGAAAGTGTCTGTGTGACACAGATAATTGTTGAAAGTGTTTATGTGACACAGATAATTGTTGAAAGTTTTTGAGCTATACAGGTTATTGTTTTAAGTGACTGTGACACAGATGATTGTTGAAAGTGTCTGTGTGAAACAGATCACAATTGTGTGAAGTGTCTGTGTGACACAGATTATTGTTTAAAGTGTATATGTGACACAGATTTGTCGATGTATTACAGGGGATGACTATGATGTGTGTGCCATCTGTCTGGATGACTATGAGGAAGGAGACAAGCTGAGACTCCTGCCCTGTTCTCATGGTGAATGACACGATTTTGACAGTCATCGTGACAGACTCTACTTATGACATGTGCTTAAATGTTCCCTGTCGTCTAATATATCACACCAAAGATATAGGCAGCTGTTTGTTCCACATTTTACTGTATACAGGGAAAATCTGAAGCTTTGCTCTCCTGATAGTTGCTAAGTTGAAGAAAACATGTTTGGTTTATATATCTATGCAGATACTGTATACTGGGAACTTTCGCCCAGTTAAACGTTTGTCCCTTGTCAATGAAATCAATTTTCACCAAGTGTTAATTTTGGCCTTCACATCTAGTAACTATGTTTAAATGTTCACTATTTTGAAAATGTCTGATCCTATGACTTGAAATGATTATTCTGTACTTTGTATTCTGTATAACTCTGTGAAAAGTAGATTTCCAGAATACCTATGTCATTTGATAGAATCATAGCTGTGAGTTAATGAAAAACAAATTGTGCCAACATCTACTCTTCCTGGATAATGTACAGTATTCATGATTGTATGTGATGTTGTATCCGCAGCCTACCACTGTGTCTGTATTGATCCTTGGCTGACCAAAAACAAGAAGACTTGCCCGGTGTGTAAGCGGAAGGTCATCCCTGGAAGTAATCCTGACTCGGATTCAGACTCGGACGAGGATAACGGAAACCAGTCCACATCGGAGAGAGCTCCCCTACTCGGAAACAACAATAACACGAGGCCAGCCAGAAGGTCCACGTTTGATAATTCTGGTATGGTTCCCATGGCAGCCTAAGTCAGGCAACATTTACTACTAAAAACCCTGTTACCTGGTTACTTCTGAGTTCCTTTGTCCTGTGATATACTTTCTGTTGTCACCATGGCCAAATAAAAACATATTTACTGTGAAATCAGATATTTTTGTGGTTCCCTGACAAAACACCATTTCGTGGGTACATGAATTTTTGGATTACAAGTACCCACTAAAAATAGAGAACTAGTGGACCTATGAATTCAATGATAAAAAAATACCCATGGAATCTGTAAAATTAAAAAAACCCAGGAAAATTAGCGATTTCACAGTACCTTCTTGTAGACAACTGTATAATTAGCTGGTATGTATGTAAAAAAATCTCACATGTTGATAGCAAATCAAAGGCTCACAAAAAATGCTTAAACATCCAACTGTTTATAGATAAAATAAATATATAAATAAAGACAGTGTTTCATATTTTTAACAAGAAGTGAAATCATTCTATAACAATAACTAAAGATGGGCTTAACTGACATTTTGCTAAAGATGGGGATATTTACAGGGCTATCTGAAATGGTGCGACCACTGCTGAGGAATGTAAACGAGATTAATCCTGACTCGAGTGACAGTGATTCTGACTCGGAGGATGACGAGGAACAGCAACCCACGACTAGCTTGCGGGAAAATGTCGTCAACAGGGCCGTTGTTAACCGTGGCTACTTCAAGTCTAGTGACGAAGAGGAGGACGAGGACAAGGACAAAGTAGATGGCGATGTTAGTGGACCAAACCAAGAGACCAAACCGGTGGAAGAAAACAGACAGGGAATCATTGCTAATGTATCCATTGTGAATGTGGACCAAACGTCAGAATCCAGGATTGTTAATCATGTGGTTTGATTATTGCCAACATTTCAGGTTGTATCTGGGTGTTAATTCCTGTTTCGTTGAAGAAGATAAAGGTGTTCAGTATGTGCAGGATAATTGTGTATCCCAACACCCCTGTATCCTCAAGACTTGTTGATTAAAGGCTGTGAATGAAATGATTAATTTGGATGTGTAGAGATGTCTATGTAAAAAACCTTAAAAACTTTTTTTAAATGTTGAAAAAGTCCAAGCCTCTGAAATGGGGATGAATTAAAAGTGCTAAAGAGAAATTGCCTGCTTCTTGGCAACAAATGGAAAAGAAGTGGAAATGAAATTGCTATGTTGAAGTAAAAAGGTCACTAATGATTTAAGTGTTGTGACCTAGTGTCAAGGTCAAGTTACGGTGTATAGGTCAAGGTCATTGGTGAAGGTGTAAGATCAGTGTTTAGATTTAGGTATCACAAGTCATTTGTATTAATAAATGACAGAACTGTCAAGTACATTTTGGTCAATTCAGTACTAGGCAATTTAAAAAAAAAATAAACAGAGGGCTATTTTATTTCAGAGATATGTCTTATACATGTATTCCCAAAGGACGTCGATATTATCTCTAAATAGAGACCAAACTTTTCACAAGGCTAAAGCTGACAGTGTATTAAGTGTGAGATTTACTTCAGAAAGATTGATTTTAAATGAGGAAAACAGTTCCTCAGATTTACAAAGTACTGAAGGCATGTCTATCAGAGTTTAGGAGGTACATGTACTGAAGCGTGTGTTAAAGAATTTGCAAAGTTATGAAAGCACCTAATGGAATGTGAAAGAACGGATTGATACGTGGTACTAACACACATGGTACATAAAGAGTTTGGTGTCAACGTTAGGATTGAAAATGTCCTTGAAAGTTCTTTCTTGTTGACCTTGACCTACAAATTAAACCCAGGTGGAAAAAAAATATTATGGTACAAAATTAAGTTAAGTCTATGATTATTATTCTGTATGTGTGTGGCAATGATATTGTTTGCACCTTTAGACGATATACCTGTGTATGTAAGTTTATGATTTCTGGTGTGATGTAATTCAAATACAAGACCAGACATTTTTAAGCAGGAAACTAATATACTATTCTGATTGTCCTACTTCTCAGTTGACTTAGTAATTATTTTTGGCAAAATTACTTTTCTGTGGTTTGTTATGATTAGTTTAATTTCTTTCTGTTAATTTAAATGAAGTGGGTACATTCTCGTCTAGCTGCACATGTATAGATAAATCATTTAAGATTTCACATGTTTTAGAAATATTTCATCTGTGGTAAGTTTTTGTCTAGCTGTACATATATAGATATAAATCATTTAAGATTTCATTTGTTTTTTTAGAAATATTTCATCTGTGGCGAAAAATATAAAAAAAGCTCTAGAAATGATGAGTATGTGTGTATATAAGTATGATCTGAAGTTATATACAATTTTCCTTTTGGCTATGTAGGTCCTGTATCACTTATCTGGTAAGGTTGAACCTGGGAAAAAAACATCAGGCACAGATTGTAATGGGCTGGCTCCTGGAAAATTCAGCTCACGTAGATCGAGGGCTTATCTGTGTGAAATTAAATGGCTGACTTAATCTGAGAATGCGTTATTTCTAAATAAAACAAGATATTTATATATAGAGAATGTTGTAAATTTTAGTATACAGGAGAAAGAACATATGTAATTATTGGTTTATTGCTGTTTATTAAACCCTTTCACCACTGTAGACCATAATGGACTCATCCAGATCAAAGCATGGTAGAGTCTACTAAAATAAGATAGGGGTGAAAGAGTTAATAGAAAACTCGAAAACTGTGCATATTGAATTTTAACTATTATGCCCACCCACTCTGCAACCCAAGTGTGAGAGGTATCAAAATGTATACTCCTGTGCCACTTTGACTTTCAATCAGATGGATGGAAGCGGCCTAGATAACAAGACACATTTGTGCGAGTGTTGTATTTTAACAATATTTCGATAAGGAAGCTAGCTTATATTCTACTTCAGTTGCAGTCAGATGGAAACAAAATAATGCATTAGAGTTCAATATAATTTTAAAATATGATATAAATATTGTGCCACATCACGTAATTCTTGTTAAACCTCCGCGTGGTTTATGTCCTTCAAACAAGGTCATAGTTTGATGACTTTTGCTTCAACCAATCAGTGAGGCAGTCTCAGAATGCTTAGCGCTGTAAGTTAAACAGACACACCCACATGAAAGCTTCTCTCGATGCCCGTGTTTAGACATAGGATCATTGATCAAAATGATGATGCTTGTAAATGAAATTGCCAAGAGAATTATTTAGACTATTTAAAGAATGATTGAGCTTTTTTTAGCTGTCTTGTAGTACATACTGTGCAATCTGTATGAACCTTATGTCAACACATCCTGAAGAAAGTTTGGGGAATGGCCAAACCTAAATTATTTTAAAAGTTGTAAATACATCGTAATTGGTATGTTTTGAAAAGAGAATGGATTCATGACATTGAATATTCAGGACTTATACAGTGAAACCTGTCCGAAGTTGACACCCCACAAACCGTTGTTCCTAGCCGCTATAGACAGGTTTTGTAGGATTAAAACCCGTCTTTGTAGGATTAAAACCTGTCTTAAGTGAACACCCCACAAACCATTGTTCCTAGCCGTTATAGACAGGTTTGTAGGATTCAACAGGGTTAATTGACACAGAAACGTATACAGTGGGACAATATGAAGGATATAGGTTTCATTTCAGACAGATTATACTGTACAAGTCGTAAATTATAGATTATACTGTACAAGTCGTAAATTATAGATTATGCTGTACAAGTCGTATATTATAGATTATACTGTAAAAGTCGTAAATTATAGATCTTATCCTTCACTCAGGTTTGTTTCTGTACAGTGTGTTTTTTTAACAATTCTTTCTGTTTCGCAAATTTACAATTCTAACATTTTTGTTGGGAAAATCAGTCTGAAATTATTCATATGAGGTCAGAATCATCCTGGTAATGATCGATATTTAGTTCAAACCTCAAAAATCTTGAGAACAAATGTACTGCGATACAGAGTAGCTGGATAACTATAGATCCCTACATATTAGTCTTACAGACCACTAGTATGTAAGGGGTACATTCTGTTGCGTAGCATTGATTTAAATAATTGCTTTTTTGCATCATATTACATCATTATACTCATTATAAAATCATTTAAATGAATGAATTGGTTTCCCCTGATCATACTGTATATATGGTGTTTTTTTTTTTGCTGCTGTTGAATTTTTCACCATTCCCCCC